TCATGGACATTATAAATGTTTAAATGTTGCCTCAGGTAAAGACAGGAAAAGAGACTATTACAAATTCAACTGCATCAGAGCTGGGGAAAAAAGTCGAAACAGCTACAGAGCAGTGGGCTGTAAGGCCTATGTTTCATTTAAAGTACTCAAATGTTGGAAAGACCACACAGTCATCGTGCAGCGTACATATGATAAGCATGATGGGCATGATCCTTCGGACCCAAAAGACGCACATTTCAACAATATTTCCAGTGATTTGAGGAGGAAGATTGAGGAACTGCTTTCCCTTGGAACTAAGCCAGCCATCATACTAACCGAATGTCATAAATGGGCCAAAGAACATGGACACAGAGATCTTCACAACAGAGAGCATTTTGTCACACCACGTGACATTGACAGTGTTAGAACCTGCATGATGAGGAAGAAGCACTTTAACTGTGGAGACAGTCAAAGTGTACATACCTTACTTAATGGAAAACATCAAGAACATGTTCTCTTCTATCAACCATACACATCTGACCAAGAACTAATGATTGTTTTGCAGACACCTGTAATGAAATCAAACATGGAGAACTATGCAAAACAGTTAGTATTTGTTGACACCACGCACTGCGTTAACCAGTATTCATTTCCCTTATTCACACTTGTTGTAAGAGATGATCATGGGCATGGAGTCCCTGTGGCCTATGCTATTGTCAGCAACGAAAGTCAGAAAACCCTGGAAACTGTTCTTGGAATAGTTTGTGAGCATTTCCCAACTTCCCCGAGGTAAATAATACATTGACAGCTATTAATTTTGAAATAATTCCTTTTCAAAAAAGTTATAACATGCCAGAATCTAATGCTATAGCTGCAGCATGGGCTGCAAAAAACTTTCCTTTCCAGTTGTTAAAGTTATTCCTATAGGCTGTATGCAGTATTTTATATATCTACTTGTGAGTTGAAATGTTTAATTTGGCATTGAAGTGGTGCTTTGAGATAGCAAAAACATTTTCATACTGTTTAATCTCATTTAGTGTTTTCTTTTTTTCTGTAGAGCATTTATGGTTGACAAAGACTTTGCGGAAATAAATGCTTTGCAGAAGGTTTTTCCAGAGTCAGCTGTCCTTCTATGCTGGTACCATGTCTTGCAGGTAAACCACATTGTTTTCTTTTCACGTTGTCTAAGATGCACCTGAAACACATTTTTACAACAGGGTCCTGTTGTTATGATTTGCCTCATTGTGATATTCACCTACTCAGGTTAATGAATATAAAGGGATAAAATGTTGAGTGACTATGTCCATCCATTTAAGACCACAGTGCACTCATCTTCTGGTGGCTGCTTCCCAAAGCTCTTTTTGACATTTAAAAATATGTTTGCCTGGTTGATTTCTGTAATGCACAGGTCCTCTTGTCCAGTGAGTGACAAAGTTATTTTTGGACGTCAGCTTTCTTTTATGCTTTTTGTACAGCTGCTCCTCTGTCTCTCTCTCCAGATTAACTTTTTTTCTCTTACATTCACAGGCTGTTAATCGATGGCTTTCAAAATCAGAGTCCGGGGTCCATGGGCTTTCTAACACCCAAAAGAGAAATGAAATCATTTCTTTCTTTTGTAAGCTGAAAGCTTGCACATCTGTAAGTGTAATTTGTCTATTTCACATTTTGATTTCTTGATTACACTAAGAGCATAATAACTTTCAGTTGCTAAAAAAAGTTACAGAGATACAAAATACATTTTTGAAACAATTTCTAAAACTGGCTTCTTATCTTGCTTATCAAAACAAGTACTTAAGCTGTGCAGAACATCATTGTGTCACCCACTGTGCAGGAGAACTTGTGAGTGGGATTCTTTCACAGACAGATGCTGAAACCAAATATGCTTATAGGTTTAGTGTTCCTTCTTAGCCATTGTAAGGGAAGAAATAATTGCTTCTTAATACAAAAACACGACATATTATTAATAACTTAAAATTCTTAATGTTATTCAATAAAAGGAAAAGGGCTTCAATACATAATATTAAAGATTTCAATAGGTCTGTTAAATGGATTGAAATATATTCTGTTGCATCCAATTCTCTTAGGAGGACGACTTTAAAGCCACATCAGCAGAGTTCTGCCAGACATTTAAGCAATACCCTTTGGTGTGCCAGTATTTTCAGAAGCACTGGGAAGGCCACATGTGGTGTGACTATGGCCGTCGCTTCAGTCACGCTCGTTCTGAAACAAACAATGTGATTGAAAGGTATGATTTATTATTTTGACCTCATTCAATTGTATTGCTGAAAAAAAGATATTATGCTTTAATCCAAGAGGCTAAACTGAGTAGGTTCGTCATGTCATTGCCAGAACAGGTTTTAGGCAAATCCTTTAAATTCTAGCAGCGTTTTTTATGTTATCACAACAAAAAACAGAGTAGGTGGATTTGCCTAAATCAGCTAAACCGGCACAGAGCATTCCTTTATAAAAGACGTGTGCAATAGGTATTCCAATTTTTAAAAAATAATACAGCCTTGATTAAAACTTTAAATTCCTTCAATTACAGTTACTAATCATTTCAAATAACTGTTTTTCAGATTTTTCCACCGCCTGAAATACCAGTTTTTATCTGGCTACAAGAATAGGCGTTTGGATGATCTGATTGAAGTGCTCCTAGGGAAGGCCGACGACTACTTCTCAGTCATAAAAACCCTGCAAGATGTGGGCCACATGAAAAACAGGTTTGCTGACACCTTGTCTCAAGTTTCAGACTCTGCTTCAAGACTGATGGAAAGTGGTTGGGCTCTTAAAATTACAGTCAAGAACAGCCATGGAGTTAATGCATATCAAGTCCCATCTGAGTCAAGAGAAGACATGGTGTATGATGTCTGCCCTGTTGAGTCCTACTGCAACTGTACATATGGCTTACGAGGACTTCTTTGCAAGCATCTAGTGTTACTTGCAAAATTAGCAGAGGCTGACAATGACATCTATCCAAACATGGAAACAGACCTTGGCAAGAATTGCAGTGAAAGAAAGGCATTACTTTGTACACTGTGAGGACTTGAAAGTGATAAAAATGCCAAGTTTGTTTGGAAATCTGTGTTTTTTTGCATCGGCTGAAACACTTCAGTGCACTTGTTGTACGTTCTCTCACTATAACACATGTGCTTGCCTGAAGGTGGCTTGTAGCCATTTTAAACAAATGAAAAACTCTCTGAAAAGTCCTCTATCAACTTTGAATGACACTCCTGTAGTTGAAAGCACAGACAAAAAATGCACAGAAGATGCAGTTGGAAAACTAAATGCTGTTTTAGACACAGTTAAACAGTGGGCATTCATTCCAGAGGGTATTACTGCAATGATAGATGAACTGCATACAAATGTCTTAAAAACAAAACAAGTAGGCAAAAGTATATGCCAGTACGAAATAAAGACGACAGATAATGCACGCAAAATTAGGCCATTGTATTCTAGCAAGAAACGTTCGGCCAGCATCGACATTCCAACAGTCTGAAAATGAATGTGAACAGTCGATAACCACTGAAAGAGAGACATACTCTGGAGAAAATGAAAACCTTTTGGAATACAAAACAAAAAAGAGAAGAGTTAAAGCTAAGTATATGCACAAGTAGACTTTTGTGTGACATTTCAAAGGGACTGCATCCATTACTTGTTTATTGAAACCTAAAGCTGAATAGCTGTCTTAACTTTCTGCCAAGGAACAGATGAAAAGAAATTGTTTGGTCTCTCAAGCAGTTGTTATTTATGTGTGTTATTCATTACTTTGGCTTGGTTGCTGTTTTTGATACAAATTCATCTGTGCCCATTGTAATATTTTCATATGTTACTATTTTTATATTGCTATGCATTATAAATAAAGGATTACTTATTACTATTAAAGGTCTGCATTTGTAATTGTTGGTATTATTTATAAAATATGCGCTCTTAAGTTTTTTGCTCCATAAAACGATACCTGTCACTTTTTGGACATAGAGTATCAGCTGTTGAGAATCCTGGCTCATACAAAATAGAAGTAAAAGGTTTCAACATCCAGCCTTTTTATGATTAAATACAAAGTGTAATAACAGAGTTATTGGGGTGTGATTTTGTTAATAGTTAGTCTTAAGTATAAGTTTAATAGTAATGAGTAAGAAAATATAGCCAGAATAATGGAATGAGACTAACACCTGACCTCACACTGAGATTTGGTATGAAGTGGCATGTTTGTGCTAATGCTGACATTGGGGCTCAGAGTTCCTCTGTGTATATATTTGTGAACGTTAACTTGGCTAATGTCCAAGGGTTTGACTGCTTTCCTGTTGGATTGTATCACAAAGAACAGGGATAAGAGCACCAGTGGCCGTGCACACCCTCATCTCTCTCCTTCACCCGATCATTAGTGTTGGAAACCGGCATTAGCTCAGAGTAGATTAGACTTCAGTATAGTGCAAGTGATTTGATTTCATGATTATTTGATTCAGTTTTTTCTGTGTTCAAGCTCAATTACTTTAATAAAATATGTTGAATTCAAACAAATAAATAAACAAATAAACTGTGGACATTACCCTTTTAAACCTTTCTGAAACAAGACAGGTAAAAACCAGTGTATAAAAGTTTACATAGGTATAAATAGCTCTAACACTTTACTCCAGCCTGGCGTCCACACATGTGGACATCACATTTTGGGTTATTTAGACCAAAATACTAAATCTTGATCAACAAGTGCCTGATATACAGTTATGAGGACATTATACTGCAACTGTTCTATCGAAATTTCAAATTAATGTCCTCATATGTGGCTCTCATTTTTCTCAGAAACAAAAATTAGGTAAAAAAAACAAAACCTGGTAATTCTTTCTTTTTACATTCATCGGGTTCCAATCGGCCCAAATATCAAAGAGAAATTAAAAATGCATGCCATGGAAGATTTCGGGTCTTAGGGGGTTAAAATGACCAGACCCCTCCGGCCTGTTTTCCAGGCCACTAAATTAAACCCAGTCAATTACCAATTGAACAGAATAAAAACCTACGAGGTCCACTAATAGTCCAAAAGTCCAAATCTTTAATAGAAAAGACAGGCAGAACTCAAACAAACAATAATCCAAACGAGGAGCATATATACACACTGGAAAGTAAATAATTATAAGTTATTAAATCAGACTAATTAAATACAGTAAAACTAATAAGGGAAGACGAACACACGGGAAATAAAAATAACAGTGTAAACATACCAAAACTCAAAATAAAACAGGAAAGCTACTACAAACCGAGTGTGACACAATTACATTCATATTGAAACATATGTGATAATTTTCTTTCTTTGTAGCATTTTTAAGATATGTGTTAGAACAGTCATTATGCTGTTTGGATTAGGAACCAATCATTTTTGCCAAATAGTTAACACAAACTTAGAACAACAATGAACAATTTTCAAGATTCTGATTTACAGAACAAACAAAAGTCACAAAAGGTTTCATTATTTAAGAGACAAGATCAAGTTTTTCACACAGGAATGAAATGACAGAATCCAGTGCAGCGGGGCCAAAGGTGTGTGTCAGCAAACTGAAGGTTGAGGAATCAGTCAGCTCATGTTTAAGATTGTGTTGGATTTTGAGAAGAGTCTGTCTGTTATTAGAAAGTAAGATTAACAATGTTACACCAATAACCCAAATACGGGGAAATGACAAATAATACCAAAAAAGATACAACTTTCATATTGTTTTACTAACTTACTTTGTCATATCAGCACTTGAATGGTCGATGCCTTTACAGACCATGTCTGTTGTGACATCGCAGGCCAATCTTCCGGCAAACCCGAGGGCTAGCTCCCCAGCCTCCTCTTCACTCAGAACACTAAACACTGTTACTTTAGTTTTGGCCTTCTTAGGCCTGTCAAGAATCATTGCGGGCAGTTTGGCTTTACGGCCCTAAAAAAGAAAAAGTGCAAACACCAAAAGAGCAGAGAGAGACACACACACGCGCACAAAGTTAAATGCTTTTGTTTACATGGTGTAATTGTGTATATGTTGCAGCAAATGCACAATTTCCAGCCACATTGTCACTTCATTGATACGAGTAACCCGGATTTATTTCAGGTGACATCAAAATCACGAAATGTATACCTACCCCAATCAAACCTCTGAAAACATGAACTGACATGTTCTCTGCGTTGATTCTGCGCTTGATCTCGTCTTCTGTTATTGTGTAGGTTTTCTTTTTTGAGCTTGGTACAGATAAGCGACCATGCACTCTGTAAACTGTACTAGTTCCTTCTGAATCAGTTTGGAATTCTGTATCTGCATCGATCCTGTCAACATCATCAGCAGCAGCATTATCTGTACTCAGACTTGTGCCGTATACTTCTGCTTCTTTTTCGTTGTCTTCAGTCTGTGTACCTTCATCTCTTTCAGTCTGTGTACCTTCATCTCTGACTGTCAGTCTTCCTATCTCACTGTTACTTGTCGATTTGCTGCAGATGTTCTCTCCCTTAGGAACTTTTCCTTTGTCATTCGCTGCCTGATGCTTTCCCTGATGACATTCTTCACTGGCTACTTCTATTGCTCCTCCTGTATAGCCACCCACTATGCTGCACAACTCCTTTCCCTCTGCTGTGCTGCACTGTGCTGTTACATAAAGAAGAATGATATAAACAGCACTATATCAATTTAATTGTGAAGAGAAATCCCCACAATACGACACAGTTATGTCTAAAATAGTTTTGTGTAAAAACTGGATCTTGAAACGTCCACTTTAATTACACAGTCCTGGTGTGCAAAGGCAAAATTACGAAAAAAAATTTCACTTTAAACATTTTTGGACATTGTTTAGTTATATTGTGACTTACTCTCACAGAAGATACAGATGCCACAAACAGACTTTGAACAACGCATGTGCTTGTATGCACCACATTTCTGGCACTGCACCTGTGAATTAAAAAAAAAAAAGAAGAAGAAATAAACAAACAAAAAACAAATGAACAAAGTCCATTAAATAAACAATCTATATGGCTAAGGACATGTCATAGTGTACCCGGTCTTTGGCTGCAATCACACACCAGCACTGACTGCACTTCCTAGTTCGATCTGCAAAATATAATTTGTTTAAGTACAAGTTACATTTTCCAATGTTAGAGAAAAAGAAGGCAGCTAATTTTATCTTTACCTATTGAGGAAAATAAGTAGTGGCAAAGTCGGGACCTGAGCTTTGTGATTTCAGTGTTGTACTCCTCCACTTGTGTTTTACCGTCAATGAGAGATTGGGCAAACTAATAATTGACAAAGAAGAAAAAAAAAAAAAAAAGAACAAAAAGAATTAGATTAACAAAGAAATGTTTGTTTGTTTTGGTCCTCTTGGGTATGTCACAAAACTGTTTTGTAAAAAGATGGATATGGTAGGCTTGGGCCTTGAGCTTTCCTAATGAGGGACACTGAAAAGTATCATGCACTAGAGAGAGTGCAAAATCTGTGCAACTTACAAACAAGGTCCAGTGGCTGCCGTTTTCCAGACAGGCTCCAATCAATTTCTCATACATCTGAAAGATGTTTTTCTGGAAATAAAAATAATGTGACAAGTATGTTTTTCTGACATTGTAGTTGCAGAATACTATTTGCTTAAAGGTATTAGAGATGAACTTATTATTAAACTGTTTGTCCTTTATTGAGGTATTACCTATCGTCAGTGAAGGTAAGCATGTTCTTATTAATGAATACTTTAAAGTATTTACGATAAGATTTAACAACGGTGTGGGTATCGCTTTACAAACCTTATTATAATTATTAAATGAAATCTCTAATTTATACTTATCAATAAATTCTTCATAAGATAGCAAGTTTCCATTTTTATCAAGCAGATCAACAACAAAACATACACCGTTATCATACCAGTCTGATTTAAATAAGGACTTCTTATTGATGACTATAACCCTATTATTCCACAACACAGAATTGTGAGGTGAAAAATTGTGGGTGAAAATTAGTTTCCCAAAATTCAAAGCTTGCTTATAGAAACTAGACAACTTAAGAGGAATCTTAGACATTTCATATTCACATCTGAGCAAAAAATCTAACCCCCCGACCTTATTAAGGAGTTTGTTTGGAATATGGTACCACATAGATTGAGGATAGGAAATGCAGTCTTTTATCCATCTGAGCCTGAATGCAGCAATAATGGATTCAGTCTAAAGCTTTCAAGCCCCCATTTTCATAGTCTTTAACTAATTGTGATTTGCGTATATAATGTGTTTTATTCTTCCAGATAAAGCTGAATATAATAGAATTGGACAGTTTAATCATTTTAGGAGATGTAAAAATTGAATAACAGGGGTATATGAGTCTTGAAAGTCCTTCTGCTTTAGACAGTAAGATACAACCTAATATGGATAAATCACGTGTTAACCAATGATTAAATATTTTTTTAACTACATTTAATCTAGGAGTTATGTTATTAATCTCTCGATCATTAGTATTTTTACTGATTATTAAACCAAGGTATTTTACTTCCTCTTTTACTGGAATATTGTTAATAGTATTTTGACTACAGCTGTGTACAGCTAAGATTTCACATTTTTTAAGGTTTAGTATTAAGCCGGATGCTTTTGAGAATGAAAGGATTGTATTAATTGCAGTAGAGACCATATTTACATTCCTTAGAAATAAGGCAGTGTCATCAGCAAATTGACTAATTCTGAATTCTTTATCAAGAATGTTTATGCCTTCCAGATCTGAAGAGAGTTTGATATAAATGGCAAGCATTTCTGCTGCAACAATAAACAATAACGGGCTAGGGCATCCCTGCCGAATGCCACGATTAATTTTAAAACTATTAGAAAACCCTTGATTGAGTGCAATACTACTTGTTATATCTCTGTACAACATTTTCACTACACAGGGGCGATCGTGGCTCAAGAGTTGGGAGTTCGCCTTGTAATCGGAAGGTTGCCGGTTCGAGCCCCGGCTTGGACAGTCTCGGTCGTTGTGTCCTTGGGCAAGACACTTCACCCGTTGCCTACTGGTGGTGGTCAGAGGGCCCGGTGGCGCCAGTGTCCGGCAGCCTCGCCTCTGTCAGTGCGCCCCAGGGTGGCTGTGGCTACAATGTAGCTTGCCATCACCAGTGTGTGAATGGGTGGATGACTGGATATGTAAAGCGCTTTGGGGTCCCTAGGGACTAGTAAAGCGCTATATAAATACAGGCCATTTACCACTAACAAATCTGGGACCAAAACCCACAGCCTCCAGAGCTTTAAATAAAAAATTATGCTCCAAAGAATCAAAAGCTTTAAAGAAATCAAGAAATAAAATAAGGCTATCATGAGGAATTAAATGATTGTAATCCAACATATCTAATACTAAACGGGTATGATGATGGATATGACGTCCTTTTATAAAGGCTGACTGTATCTCATATATTATTTGAGTTATTCCTGTTTTTAATCTGTTGGCATAGACATGAGCTAATAATTTGTAATCACAGCAAAGAAGTGTGATAGGTCTCCAGTTATCTAAAAGGATAGGGTCCTTGTTTGGTTTAGGAAGTAAAGAAATTATTCCTCGTTTCATAGTTGGAGATAGCATCTGATCATTTATACATTCATTAAATACCTCTAGTAATAGATCTTTAATGTCACTCCAGAAATATCTGTAAAATTCAATCGTGATTCCGTCGGGACCTGGTGATTTACCACTTGCCATTTGGGAAACAGCAGCATCCAATTCAGTTAAAGTGATTTCAGACTCATTGAGATTTTTAAAGTGTGTGTCAATTTGAGGAATTTTTTCATGGATAGAGCTAAAAAAAGAATTAGTCTCCAAACTGGAATAATTTGTAGTGTAGAGGGCTGAATAGAACTCTGTAATATAGTTGTTTATAGTCTGTTGGTCTTCAGTCAGGGTATTATTAATTTGTAACTTCATTATAGTTTTTTTTTGCTTGTCTAGTTTTCTCCAGGTTAAAGAAATAAGAAGAATTCTTTTCCCCCTCCTCAATCCATTTAGCCCTTGAACGAATGAAAGCACCTTTTGCTTTGTCTATATAAAGTTCATCTAGTTTGTACTGCAACTGGTTTAGTTCTATAGTTTTCCTCTGTCAGATGTGATAAATTGCACAATGAACTTATTTGTGCAGTGATTTCAGCCTGTTTCTGTCTCCTTTTATTAGCCATTAATTTTCCTTCTTCACTGGCAATTTTTCCAACATTAAACTTCAACCATTCCCATTTACTAGTAGAAGAAAAATCCTCTATTGCTTTTACCTCTCCTATTAATTTTTATACAAAAAGATGAGCTTCTTAAGAGGTTACTGTTAAAGTTTCAGTGAGAATTCTTCGGTTCTGATAATCTATTATCCGGGGAGATTGAAAGTGTTATGGCACAATGGTCAGTAACAGGGGAGTGAAGAATCTTACAGTTGGATGATAGGGGGAAGAGACTACCAGTTATTAAGCAATAATCCAGTTTTGAGCATTGAGAGCGCTCAGAATTACTCCAGGTGTATTGCAGATTTTCCGGGTTTAAGTTACGCCAGATATCAATTAGGTTGAGGGTGCAGGAGAAATCCATTAATATTTGGTTAAAATGAGAAGAGTTATATTTAGTTGGAAATCTATCCAGTTTTTCATCTGGTACCATATTAAAGTCACCTGCAACAACGACTTTTTCAGTTGAATAAATGATCTTCCATTCTTCTATCATTTTTTTCAAATCAGAAATTAATTTCCGGTTTTTAGCTCTATTGTTGAACCCATAAACATTTACTAAAATGTACTTAGTATCATCCAACTCTATGTTAACCATTAACCAATGACCTTCCTCATCACCTTTATGATCAATAACTCTTCCATTAAAACGATGTAGAAAAATAGCCACTCCTGCTGAATGAGAAGTACCATGAGATAAATAAATATCACCGCTTCCCCACTGCTTTCTCCAAAATATATGATCATCTTTACTACTGTGTGTCTCTTGAAATAAAAAACAATTCGTGTTAGGCTGTTCCTTACAAAAAAGAAAAATCGCTTTACGCTTTATGTTACTTCTTAAACCTCGAACATTTAAAGAAAATATTGAAAGAACCATTGAATATAGCTTGAAAGTGCTGTAATAACTAGAGTAGGGCAATGGAACATTTTACCTCCTATTAACTAATAAACCCAGTCAAAGTCAGGGACCATTGAGCAAGTTACCGGCTTAAATTTAGTTGAACAGTTATACCTTCTTATCTAGGTCGTTATAAAGTTCTTTCATTCTTTGATTTGACGACCATCGATGACAGCATATCCGTCCTTCAGGAAAGCTTTGAGCCATCTGCTTCTTGCCTCCTCCACCCTCGGCCACAGACGTTTGCGGGCTTCTCTGTCTTCCTTGCAGTCTTCTCTAAACCAAATCTTCATCTCCTTGCAGAACTTCACCTCCTTGGACATCTTCCACATTAGGTCTCAAACAGTTCTCATGGGAAACTTTGTGACGATCAGCCTAGGTTTGTCGCCAACTCGTCCCTTCTGACCCAGCCGGTGCACTGTATCCACTGTGTTGTACAGCTGCTCAGCGTTCGCAGGAATTATCTTGGTCAGAATTCTGATTATTTCTTCTCTCGTGTTCTCCCCCTCCTTCTCAGGAACGCCAGTTAGCAGCAAAGACCATCTCCGTTTGTATCTAGCATGCTCCAGACAAATTTCACGAAGAGCCTCGTTCTCTTTTTTCAGCGTCGCCATCTGCGTTTTAATACGTTTCACATCTTCCACCACAGATCTAACAGCTTCTGTATTAGCATCCACGGACTCCTTTACTTTTCTTACAGCGTCGGTGTTTTCTTGCAGCTGGAATTCATAATTCTTTAAAAGTTCACTTTGGGTGTCGAATTTACATACCAGTTTTTGGATAGCATTGAGGAGAACTGTATTTGAAACTTCGTTTTGCGTCTGCGATTCGTTAGCCTTCATTTTTTTAGGATTTGGACTTTTAACTGGTGTGTGGTGACGATCAGCTTGCGGTCTGTCTTGTGATAAGTCGTGCTGCTGTTCCATCCATTCAATATCTTCTTCGTCGCACGCCTGTTGAAGAGCCGCTAGGTGGTAGCCATGATCTTTGTTAATGTTAGCCATTTCGCCGCTTCGGAGAAGGTGGCCGAGAATGACGGAGAGAAACACAGGGAGGACGTTTTTGAGTTTTAGAGATGAAGTATAACTAGTCTGCTTCTAATTCCAGTTTACTTGACTGTGGTCTAGACATAAAAGAGGTTCTTTTTAGGATAAGCCTCGGAGCCCACTCAAGTTGAACCGCTCATTCCGCCATCTTCCCAGAATCCCCGGCCCGGGAGTTAAACTGAAACGGTGAATAGGGACTGTTCATTGCTGAACACTCTTTTTTGGGGATGTGAACGCTGTGCCGAGCTCCCACCTTGTTCCAGAGCAGTTTTATATACAAGGTTTCTGTTAATTGACATAAAATGCCCTTTGGTGGGCGTAGCCATTGTAAATAAAATCTATCCAGATAGTGCACAACAAGCATCAGTCACCAGCTGAACTATCACTTAATAACACTGGAATAGTATGAGTGAGCATGGAGGAGGTCCTGATCAGCAGGGAAACTGTGAACCGTTTTAAAATATAGTTATAAGTAAAGCTTGACGTCCCTCCCCTTCTTCATATTTCAGACATCACCAGGAGTCTTTGCCAGGCTCTACTGTACAGAGTATACACAGTAAACACATTCATGTTTAATGGTACATCGTTTTGATCACGACAAGATGAAAAACAGACTAACCCATCCACTCTGCTCTGTCCACCAGAGTTACTCTGTGGAGTAACACGTGGACAGGTTGGCAGTCTGTTACAGGGTTAACTCACACAGACAGACAAGCATTCACACTCACAGCATTATAAACATAAACTCTTCATTGAATTTCTTCAAGCTTGTGCTTCATTCAGTTCTGTGCTGCAGACTGTGGATTGAACACCTTCACTGTGACTGCAGGACGATCCAGACTGGAGGAAGCAGGAAACACAGCTGGATGCATTCCTGTCCACTGTGTCTGCTCCACACTGAGGAGAGAAACACTTTCACAAACTGTGACTGTTCAATAAACCCAAGTATGTAAATGAATCCTTTCTGTCCTGACATGCAAGATTGGACCTTGGACCTGGTCAGCTCAGATACACCCAAAGCACACGCAGGATGGAAGTGAAGTCAAAGCTCACACTAACCTAACACATAACCAGTTTGTTCATGCAACAAAAGCAAAAACAGCGCATTGGTCAGAAACAAAACAAGAAATCAGTTATTCATAAATCACATCCAGGCTGCTTTTGTTGTTCTACATACATTAATATGTCGACATATCAACAATAAATAGGAAATAATAACAATATAATTAGAGAACTTGTATTGGAGCGGTTGCCCATCATTTCATCATATAAAGACAATAATGCTAATGAAACCTGAACACTCACAGGTGAATGTGTTAGCTGTGCTGGCACTGACATGACTCTTACTGATAAATCTGTTTGTATTTGTTTTGACAGAAGAACAACATTTCTGAAAATATGAAATAATGATGCGAGACGTGTAAAACATTTGTAAGTGGGACACTGAGGCCTCTGGAAACAATCAGATCGAGGCTGTGACCTGTTGTTTGGCTGGGTTCTGTCACATGCTGGTTAAAATTAAAACATGTTAATAAAGTGGTGAATTGTCCGCTGTCAGAGCTGCTACTGTCAGTGTGAGTGTTAAAATCACCTAAATGCAGTCAAATGTTGTCATTTTGGAGAAAAGTTCAGCAATTTTTTCCAGGAAGTCACGTCTCAGTCTAGGAGGAGGCAAGCAGTATATATGTATACTGTATATGTATATAGCGATCAGTAATACAGGAGGAGATACACAATTATTTATTAAACCTA